CCCCTTGTCCCTGTGTCCCCTCTCTGGAACATCCTATCTCTGTCCACCTGTCTATTCCCCGCAGTATCTTGTATGTCGTTATCATGTCTCCCCTGACCCTTCTGTCCTCCAGTGTCGTCAGTCTGATTTCCCTTAACCTTTCCTCGTACGACATTCCCTTGAGCTCTGGGACTAGCCTTGTTGCAAACCTTTGTACTTTCTCTAACTTCTTGACGTGCTTGGCCAGATGTGGGTTCCAGACTGGTGCTGCATACTCCAGTATGGGCCTAACATACACAGTGTACAGTGTCTTGAACGATTCCTTATTAAGGTATCGGAACGCTATTCTCAGGTTTGCCAGGCGCCCGTATGCTGCAGCGGTTATTTGGTTGATGTGTGCCTCCGGTGATGTGCTCGGTGTCATGGTCACCCCAAGGTCTTTCTCCCTGAGTGAGGTCTGTAGTCTTTGTCCACCTAGCCTATACTCTGTCTGCGGTCTTCTTTGCCCCTCCCCAATCTTCATGACTTTGCATTTGGCTGGATTGAATTCGAGAAGCCAGTTACTGGACCACATGTCCAGCCTGTCCAGGTCTCTTTGCAGTCCTGCCTCATCCTCGTCCGATTTAATTCTTGTGTGTGTGTGTGTGTGTGTGTGTGTGTGTGTGACTCAACACTCAATATTTGCACCAATAACTCATTACAGTTGTGACCGGGTGTGGAAGTGTGAATTGCTCATTATACTATAATTTGTTCATGATTGTAGCCATGTATAAACGTAAGTAACCATTCTTACAGTATTCATTACCTTGTAACTTGTGATTCATTACACTTGTACCTAGTTCAGCCATCCAAGCTTTGGGGTCCATCCCTGGATCCATTACGATACCTCATGTAATCTGTAAATACCTTTGTAACTTGTCATGATTGTGACTAGACCTACCGGAGTTCATTACCTTGTGTAATTTTGTGAGTTCAAAACCATTGTAAATTGGTGAACTCATTACCTCTTGTAACTTTCTCACTATCAAAAACTTTGGAGTCCAGTCCCATGGACCAATTAGTACCTCTGTAATCTTTTGACTACCGCCACAGGATGTGTATGGGGTGCATAATAAACATATTGTGTGAATGGTATTGAAAAACCGACAAGTTGAAGATTGAGACACTTATGCAGCATATGGGGAATCTTTATTAGGAAACCGTATCGCCCACACCGGTGGAGCTTATCATCATCCAATACAAAGAGGAAGGCGTAAGGAAGGAGGAGATTGAGGTAATCAGATCCCTCAACCTGGATCGATGTGGTTCATTCCATCAACTTGATAGAAATGTACATCATAGGGCCCTAGACCGTGGCTAAATATACTTGTATGAGTGAATTGAAAGCAGGCGGAGCGGGATCATAGTGGTACCAACCACTAGTCGAAGTAATCTTCGTCCAAAGGTTGAACAAGTGTTGAAGAATTCGTTTGTAACAAGACCCCACGGCCACATCACGGCAGCATCATGGTCTTGTTACAAAAGAATTCAACACTTGTTCCAACCTATGGACAAGACTCTACTTCGACAATGGATGGAACCACATGAACCCCGCCATCCATCTGCTTCACGTCACCTCACAAACAGTATATAGAGCCACGTCCAACGGCCCTACAGCTGTTACATTCCTACAATATTTGATGGACTGAACACATCGACTCCAGGTTGAGGGACAGATAAATCATTCCCTCCTCTCTTACGCCTTCATTTGTATTGGAACTGATGAAGCCACTTGTGGCGAAACGTTCCTGAAAAAAGATTCCCATATGCTGCATAAGTGTCTCAATCTTCAATAGAACATATAGAACTAACTAACTAACCGGACTTTATCCAAGCTGAAGGTGGTCCCCAGGGATGTGTTTCTGAGCACAACACTATTTCCCATGCTACATTAATGATTTGGCCTCTAGTCTTCCATCAAATATTTGGTCATCCACTCTATGGTGGGGGGGGGGGGGGGGGGGGGGGGGGGGGGGGGGGGGGGGGGGGGGGGGGGGGGGGGGGGGGGGGGGGGGGGGGGGGGGGGGGGGGGGGATGACTTCGCTATTGCCTGTGCAGGCGCTGACTGTCACCTCATTACAGTTACCTCTCCAACATGCATCCGACCCGTTTTCATTGGGCCCCCACACGTAGGGTTTAAATATCCAGCATAAAACCCACCAATTACTCTTTCCACTAGACGCTCTGTCATCTCCAATCATCCAGTTGTACCTCTATGTGCCCCGTATCCCGAACGTGATACAGTCAAGTTTCTGGCCTCCTCTTTGATCGTAGGTTATCCTGGAAACTCATATACCATTCTCTGAGGGCAACTTGTCTCAGCCGGCTGAACCATCTTAAAACCCCATGCTCAGCTTTCATGGGAGCTGATCCTCGAACCCACCTTCGCCTACATTCCACACCATATTTATCGAAACTTGATTAATGGTGAACCAATCTTTTCAGCGCGGCATCTCCTGCTACTCTCTCTGCCTAACCCCATTCAACACCAAGGATTACGTTTAAGCCTTGGTGCTTTAACGCTCTTACCCTGTCGAGAGCCTCTAGTCAGAAGCGAACGTCATCCTTTATCCGATCGCGTGATGCCCATTTGCCTGCGCTACTATGTACGCTCTCAGATCTCCGCAATCCTTCCCCCATTTATAAAATGGTCACTGATATTACGTAGACAGTTCTTTTATTTGTTCGCCGCCCCTGTTTACTCCGTCCTTCTCTCTTCGCCTTCATTCGTCTCTTGTCTTTCTCTTCAACAACCACCTTTCTATGTACATGTAAGCAACTCCTTTCCCACCCCCCTGGGAGGTTCCAGCTGTTCGAATCTGTTCTTTCTCCCTCCCTTGCTCGAAAGCCAAAACTGTCTACGGTCGCTTCCGCTCTCTTTTTTTCTGACCACATTCAACTCCTCATTCTCATCGCCATTGCTGTGTACACAGAATGGCTCTAAGTCTTCTGACGGCGAAGGATTCGCAGCAGTTTTCCGGACAGCGTCGTACAAGGGCATTTACTATCTTCGGCTAGTATTTTAACTGCTGAAACTTATATGCCATCCCTTACAGCGCACTTATCCGTATTGCATCTATGCCATGTCATCAATTTGTTGGTTGTCTCAAACTCCCTTAGTCTTACAGGCCCTATACAAAAATTTTTGATACACCACACCCCATAGTCCTCCGTATTCCAACTAAGGCTACGCGCATCTATGACCAAGCTAAAGACTATTATTTTTTGAGTTGGTTCCCTGTTCATGTAGCCGTACGGGGCAAAGGAACAGAGCAGCCACTGACTGCACTGTCAGCAGAACATGCCCTACCCTTTTCTTATAGAGGTATTCGCGCATATCCAGACTATTTTGCTGCAATATCTCCCACCTTCGCACCCGTTGGCAACAACGATGGACTACTATGCTCGTGCAACAAACTTTCAATCTATAAAACCGAGTAAAGTTTACAGGCCGTCTCATAATCACCAGTGACGAGTTTGGGAGACTACTCCTCCGTCTTCGCATTGGCCATACTCGTCTATAACTCGTAGGTAATCTCATGGTGCAGGCGTCTAGCTCACACTCTGTGAGAATTGCCAAGCTCCATTCTCAGTCCAGCCACATAGTCTGTTGGACCTGCCCACTTTATCAACGAGCCGCAGAATTTACCACCGTCGTCGTCGTCGTCGTCTTCGCTCCGCTGCCTCTCTTTTACCTTCCTTCTCGCTGATGGACCCACCTTTCATCACGCAACCAACGATTTCTGATGTGGCTTAAGTGTTTTTCTGGGGAAATATGAAGTAAATTAATTAGATGTTCTACGTCACATCCGTCGCAACTTGAAAACTAAGCATTTGCGACGAAGTGATGTAGAAACATCAATCAATTGAGAACAGTTAATGAAATGAAAGACTTAAAGACAGAGACAAAGATTGCTTTTTAAAACCTACAAACGAAGTCAGTTTGTCATTTTAGGTATTTTCTTTTATAGTAATTTTAACCAAAATGCTCTTTACTGGTCCAAGCATCTATACTGGTCAAGTAACCCTATCATGTAACCTCCCAACCTTTAGAGCGAAAACAAACTTTTTATCCATACTCATCCAATGACATCAACAACACTTCAGTAATTTGTCACAGTACAAGTCTAGATAACGTGTAATTAACTACAGAAAATAGTAGAGGAATCTCCCCAACTCACGCCATTAGCTAGGAAAACACAGCTGTTCTAATGTAAACAAAAGCGTGTTGAGTGTTGCCATCTATGGTCAGGTTATTTTATTTTATATTTTATTTTATTTCATTATTTATTTTTGTTTTGATTAATTTTTAAAAATCAATTTTACTCTCCAAACACTTGAGCTTTTTAGGTAGGGACCCCTTTGCACTTGCACCATGTGTGCAGTCTTTGATGAGCCCCTGAACCCTTGTACGCGGGTCCCCCAAATGCGCGGGGCCCTAGGCAAATGCCTAGTTTGCCTATGCGGTAATCTGGCCCTGACTGTCCTTCATAGTCCTCTCTAACTGGCCTTGATAATCAAGCCCTCTCTGGCCTTGATAATCAAGTTTCCCTGACCTTGATAATCAATCATTCCATGATTTTTAAATATAATTGCCTAGGGTTTTGTTATTTTTTGATATATTAAAAACTATCAATTTTTTATTTAAACGCCCGCTATGTATTAAATATTTATATGATTTATAAGGGCCCCGTCACCCCGTAAGGGCCCCGTCACCCCGTAAGGGCCCCGTCACCCCGTAAGGGCCCCGTCACCCCGTAAGGACCCCATCATCACCTACCTCATGCTGGTTTAACATTTCTCCCAAGTTAGGTTCATAAGTTTTATTATCAATGTGGTTATTTTACGATCGTTTTAACTACTTTCCCATGTCTTCGGAATTTGTTATTTGCACATATTAATTACTGTATTCATAGCTTGCTAACATGTCCATTACTAAACTGTTTACACTTTGACTTTACTGATTACCATCTTATTTTCAGGATGATTCTTATCTAGAGCAAGACCATAGAGAGAACCACAAGACTCATGAGGAGAATAAAAGTCTTCACCAGACGAGGTAAATAATGATAGTGACTGACCCCCCCCCCCCACTCTCTCCATTCCTTTCGTAGTTCACTTGAGTGATGTTGCTCTCGTAGAACACCTACCTACCTACGTACCAACCTACCTACCTTAATGGTTCAGGTTTATTTTGGATTGTAGAATTTGCATAAGAACATAAAGAAGGAACACTGCAACAGGCCTACTGATCCATGTGGAGCAGGTCCATGTCCCACCCCCGGATTGACCTTACTTGATGGGTTAGAGAGGGGAAGGATGCTCTGGGAGACTATCTGGGACAGAAATCGAAAAAATTTTGAGAAAAAAGTTTTCCTACCAGCTTGTTTCTAACAAGCCAATTCGGTGTTTTTTTTTTTTTTATTACTTAAAAAATTACGATTTTTGATTGTTTTTATCCAAATATACTTGTTGGCATCTTCTGAGTCAGTAGTAATGACTGCACACACCACCAGTACCGCAGTGACTTATGAGTCACAGATGAGTGTGGTTATGATGGTGGGTGAGAGGTGACGCACGGCCACCCTAGAGTTTCTTGAAAAACATATATGAATAACCCAGGAATAAGTTATTGACGTTATTTTCCGTTTCCTGCGAAGAGTATTTATAGGAGCATCATGGTTTTTTTTTCACACGTTCTATAAAAGTAGAGAAGGGATTTGTAATATGTTTTACTATTTTTCGTTTATTTTTCTCAAATTTTTTTTTGCATAATGCAGTCTATTGATATTTCGCCTAAACCCTTCTATTCAATGATTATCTAGCTGTCGCCTGATGTCAACTGGAAAATTGCACATTTAAACAAATTTGAAGGCAAGTTGTAAGACCTATAGAATATAAAAAAAATTTTCTATCTAACTTTATGGAAAAAAGTGACCAAAAACACATTGTGTAGCGTCTTAAACAGAGCTGTAATCGCAGAGTTAGCCTTAATGAATATAGAAAAGTACACTGGAGTTTCTTTCCAGACACTGGTGTACTCAGTACATTTTAAAGTTCTACCAGTTAACTCTTGTTTGACCAGAGGAGCACTGTAGTTGGCTTATTTTATGTTGTTTTTCAGGTGGAAGGATTCTTGATGATGATTCTAGCAGCAGCAGCAGCAGCAACAGCAGCAACAGCAGCAGCAGAAACGTCAGCCCCATCAGTAGCAGCAGCAACACCAGCATCTCTGATTATCTGGAAAGTGTGAGTTACTCTAAGAAAAATGGTTTCTCACGGGTTGTAATGTAAACACTTGAAGTTGCAATGTTAGTTGTAATGCACTGTCACCTGTCTTCAACAGACAGTCAGTGACTGACTGATAGATGATGTTTAATGTATAACATGAGAATACTAGGCAACAAATTTTCCCAGGATTTTAATAAAAATTAATCTGAGCTTTGTTATTTGGCTTGACTAATACAAACGATCATATAAAACCTAGACTAAGGTTAACCTGTCATGTTGACTCTGATCATTCATTTTGCATTTTTAGACTAAAAGGTTACAAATTTTTAATCACATCCTAAGAGATATGAAAAAGGTTCCTAACAGTAAGCGAAATAAACATTAGTTTTTTTATGAAAGTCCCCAGCTCATGCAGCCTAATGGATCCAAGTTAAACAGCTAATATAAACCAGGTCTCTGTGAGGTACACTAGGCTTAGTGTAAATTATCAGAGGTAGGGAAGAGTGGTCCTTCGTTACGTACTTCAGCTCGTGCTTAAAGTTAAAGGTTTTTATTGGCTTGTCTAAGAGCGAAGATATTGTTTTTGTTGCGATTGCTGGTGAGAACTCTTGTGTGGTTTCAGTGTTTACTGTTGAGCTCGATGTAATCATGGAGTCATATTAGCTGGTTCTCGGTTGACTGTGTACTTGGATTAGTGATGTGTTGTTTGTTCTGGCCCAGTATGCTTCTGTATAACCTATTGTTTCAAAGATACTGAAGTGGTTGGTGCGTCACCATGCGTGACTCAAGGATGTGAAGTCGTGTTGGTGTCCGGGTCCTGTTGGAATGCCAGGAGGCTAACAGGCAGTTAGCAAGGCCAGGGCTGCTGTGGTCAGCCCATTCTGCTGTGGTTTTGTTTTGGCCTAGGTACTTCTTGGGCCACATCCAGACGTGTCCTCGGGAAGGAGTGGGCTTGGGTGGTCAGCCAGACTGGCAACAAGTTATACAAGCTTCTGCAGGAAGTGGGCGTTTGGCCTTCCTCCATTAGGAATAGTCAGACTAATTTTCAACTGAGGATCTGACACTGCTCGAGATGTGCCACTGATTGTGGATCATATTTTTAATGGTTTGTTCTTGGCCTTTAGCATATTCACTTTCATCGTTTGTTCTTATAATCTCCGAAGTGCCATTTTATTTACTTACATAATGGGATTTTTAATTGTTGCTGGCTGTTTTAAGTATATATTTGTGTTGAGTGTTTGTGTTCGTATTGACATAGTTGTTGAATTATCCTTGTTTTTGTGGCAGATTTTGTGCATGTAAATGCAGTAAAAGTGTTCCATTAATGTTAGAAATATAACTGTCAGTGGGCTACTGCTTCACCCCATGAATGTAATGAAAAATATGGTAAGTTGGCTTAACTTCCTGTATTCAATTGACTACAGGAACCTTTATGCATTTTATTTAAACTAAGCTTCAAGTTGCTGGCTTTATCTCTGGCCCTAGTGAGTTGGTTACCTTGTGTTATTATGTGTAGGTTGTAAGTAGTGGTGATATCCACAAACCGGAAAGAGGACATTTGTGTACTGAAGTCATTCGTGGCGAAACGTCAGCATTAAAGGATGTCCAGATCTGCAGCGCCTTTTTCCACATACGGTCAAGTGCAATGTATTGATTGGATCCAGCCAGAGGTAACTGTATCAGGCGGATCAGCAAGTTAACCACTAGTAACACACTGGGTGGTTTATCCAGTGGCTCTGACTGTAGAAATTCAACTTGTTACCTTAGGTTCTCTAGGTGAAGGCATTCTTGAGTTCCTCCACATCCATTTCAAGTTCATTTCTGATAGATCTGAACCAGCTCTTCTAGGACTCTACCCTGGGTAAGTAATACTCTTAAAGTCCGAACTGCTTCTCAATTTGATATAGAGGCTAGTGGTATGACATTGCTTTGTCAACCTGTAATTTTCCATGTTTTATTTTTTTTTTTTGCAAGTTTACTTTGCTCTTGCTTTCTTTAAATTACAAAATCCGGGGGTAGGGGTGAATAAGGTTTCTCACAAAAGCAGCAGCGACAGTAACAGTAACAGCAGTAGCAGTGTTGGTGTTGTATATTAGAAAGTAAGTGTGGTCAAGCAAGCAAGAGAATCTAGGTAAGCCCCCAAAGGAGTGAGCGGGGAAGACTGGACAGACTAGTTCTTGAGGAGTGTCTTAGAAAAAGAGTCGGGGCTTAACCCAGCAGCTGAACTGTGGGGAGGAGTTGGAGAGTCGGGAACTGCAGGCGAAGTTGATTGAAGAATGAAGAGCGCAGCTGACTGCCCCTGATCTGCATAGTGACTGCTTGTGACTGGTGAAGACTGGCGAGAGGCGGGCTGGAGGGGAAGGCGTCGTCAACTGGTGGAGCGAATCCCTAAAACATGTCCAAGACACTGTAGGAACCGTTTTTGATTATTTTAAATGCAAATTTGTAGACTGCTGTGAGTTTTACGTGATGTATTTTGTCATTACGTAGATCTTCAAGTAAGGCATTGGCTGTGTAATGTTCGCACTCATAATCGATACTGTACTTGACTTGGCCATGCTGTAGATAGCTTGGGCTGCATGTAGCTGATGCATGTCACGGTTATATGTGAACAAGTTGATAGGTGCAGTGGATCTGAATTTTCGGTCTATTATCATTTCTTCTGCAGGTGTTGGCATCATTGATGGTGGATATTCAGGTGGAAGTACTTTGGCTTTCTTGGCCATCGGTGACTGAGGTGGAGATGGAGTAGCTTGGTCGGTGGCTGTCGTGGAGGCGGTCTCGAGTACATGTGAGGTTGCTGATTGGTCAGTGGCGGTGGTGGTGCTAGGTGGCTCTTGCGTTATGGTTACAGGAGTGGTGATATTGACTGGTGCTTGGGTGAGCTTGATGTCGGCAGAAGGTGGAGAGTCTGGGAAAGTAAATGCAGGCATGTTGTTCAGTCTGAAAAGTTCGTTGACTGTCGTGTTGAAGGATCCTGGAGATGCCATATTGTGCATGTGTGTATACAGCAGACTATTGGATTTTCGTGGAATCACATGCAGGTGAAGAGGTACTGGTGGTCGGGTGTTGGGTTGATTTCAGGAGTTTTGTAGTGTCTGCCTGTAGTTTGGTGATAGCAGCGTAGGTGGGCGATCTGGATGGTGACTACTTCTGTTCTGCTTCTGTGCTCTTTTTCATAATTTCTCGGCGAGTGAGACGCTTAGCGAGAGTGTGGTGGTTGTTTTTGCAGTTTAGACACTTGAGTGGAGCAGTGGAAGTACATGTCTTTGAGTCGTGGCCCTCAGAACCGCAGGTAGAACAAAACTTCTTGTCCTTGGTGAGACAGTCTTTTGTAGAGTGAAGGTATGAGTAGCAACTCCAGCATTAAGTGATATGGTGGTATCGCTCAGCTTCGACGTGGATGGTGTTTATGCAGCAGCAGCAGCAGTAGTAGATGGCTAGTCCCTCAGCCATAGGTTGGGCAGCCATCGTGATGTCCGTAAAAGTGGTTTTTAGCATGGATGACGCAGCGGGAATCTTGGTAATGCTTTACACTGTAGCCCAAGGGTTCTGGTCTTAAACAGATTTCTTGAGGTCTTCAGTGGTTTGTGACGTAATCAGTTTATCTAGGCGCTTCAGGAAAACAGTCCTCTTAGCCCTTAAGGCTGGAGAGGATATGATTCTGTAGCCACGCTCTTCGAGAATGGACAGGGCAGATGCAGTCAGCAGTTTCTCGGCCTCCACATCGCCTTCACAGACGACAATGAAGGATTTTTGGAGGGAGAGAATTGTGTTAACCTTGACTTGTAAGCCTCTGACAGCCACAGCAAGGGCAAGCTTGGAGTCATTGATCGTACCACCGGATGGTTTTATCTTGACTGTTGGAGTAGCTCATCTTGAAATAGGTTGTCGACGAAGTAGAGGTTTCCCTCCCCAACGGGGATCGCAGGAACACTTCTTGAGGTGAGGAGCGACTGTGTCTTGCCAGTAGCAAGGCCAACAGTGCAATGGTGAGTGTAGTCTGGTCACCATGGATCTTCACGCTCGCGTAGTCAATTTAAAATGTTCATTAGAATTGCTTTACTACTAACACTGTATAGTCTTGTCTTGTATTGTCTGGCTAGAGTAAAATCCTTATTTCTGTGTAGTTTGTTCTGCAGTTTGACTGTAGAATTAATTCTCCAACTATATAAATTAATAGATAATTAATCTTATTTTTATTTTCAGGAAAATTCTTTTCAGCAGGAAGAAGAAAAGCTGGAGGAGCCTCTGGTCCCAGTCGCAGTCCCAGTCCCAGTCCCAGTCCCAGTAGAGGAGCCTCTAGTCCCAGTAGAGGAGCCTAAGGTCCAAGTCAAGGAACAACGGGTCCTACTCCCAGCCAAGGGAGGTAATTTTCCGTTTATTATTGGTGTTGCTTGAACCTTACGTATAATACTAACAGACTTAGCGAGTTTCAGAGAAAAAGAATGTATAGATGAGGTGATATAGAACTGCCTCTGCTGTACAGACTCCAGCCAACTACCAAGAACTATGATTGGGTGTGCGATAACTACTTAATAATGCATGGAAACTTAAGTCTTGTTTTCAATGCTTCAAGAACCGTACACAATGTCTATCCGAACATTTTTACTAAAAAATGAATCTCGTTGTAGGAATTTAACTCTCATATTCTGGGGGGAAGTATCGTAAAGACTAGTCCCTTAAATTACGACTCTTGGATGGTGTCGGGGATTGTAAGATGAGGTTAATAGATGAACACAATGATGCAACAGTTACCTACAAAAGCATTTTCTCTAACTTATTCTTTTAATATAATAGAGGCGGATTGTGTTCCTCAATAATGGTTCCCCTCAAGTTAAACATATATCCACATAGTTTATTGCAGTCTATAATGACTTGATAAAATTATATAAAGAAATGATGGCTTGATAAAATTATATAAAGATATGATTCGAAAGGAAACTATTCTTGCAATCTTTTCATATAAAAAGTATTGTGATCTGGTGCAGTAGTAGTAGTAGTAGTCACAGGATAGTTGTGGACTAAGGGGAAACTGGCGATAGTTTTGTTGGTTAGAAAACCTAAGTATCCTGAGAATGGACTGTTGTATATTTGATAATTCATTAAGTAGTTATCTTATTGGCCATGTTTAAGTACATGGCCACTGTTAGTGTCCCAAGATGTTCAACCCGGGGGTTTTCGGGGAACACTGATTTACATTACCATGGTATCTGGGGCAAAAGCACTAGTGCAACATTTTCGTGTTGAAACAAGATAGTGTTGCAAAAGTTTATTAGTTTTTCCACAAATATTAGTGTTGCAAAGTTTTTTAGTTTTGGCAAAAAGTATTAGTGTTGCACAAGATTTTAGTGTTGCACAAGATATTAGTGTTGCACAAGTTATTAGGGTTGAAAAAGTTTCAACTTGTATTATCCCATTCACTTTTGAGGGTTTTTTACACACCAGTTATATTTTGGCTTTTATTAACGAAAGAGTTGCATAAAAATTTCAATTTTTTGTAGTAAAATATTTATTTTTAAATGGAAACTGATAAAGATATTTTACATGGATTTAAAAATTTTTTTATACTAGAAATTTTTCAAAGTGTTAGTCCCCCAATAATTTTTTTTTTCTTTTCAGGCCCGGACTAAAAAAGGGAAAAAAAGGGAAGTGTTTTAAAAGGGAAAAGGGCGGGTTTTTTTTTTTTTTAAGATTTTAAAAATTTATTTTTGCTTTGTTCCAATAAAATTTAATAAGCAATGAAATTCTCTTTTGTTTTGGGACCTTCTATACCACCACCCAGGGGGGAGGTCCCACCACCCAGGGGGGGGTCCCAACCACCCGGGGGGGGGGAGGTCCCACCACCCAGGGGGGAGGTACCACCCCCAGGGGGGGGGGTCCCACACCCAGGGGGGAGGTACCACCACCCAGGGGGGAGGTCCCAAAACACCCGGGGGGAGTTTGCCACCCCCAGGGGGGGGGGGTCCACCCCCCCAGGGGGGGGGGTACCACCACCCGGGGGGAGGTACCCCACCCAGGGGGGGGGTTGGGGAGGGTACCCCCCACCCAGGGGGGGGGGTTTAACCACCCGGGGGGGAGGTACCCACCCAGGGGGGGGGGGTTTTTACCCCCACCCAGGGGGGGGGTAAAAAGGGGGGAGATGCCACCCCCAGGGGGGAGGGTTCCCAACCCCCAGGGGGAGGTACCACCCCCCCGGGGGGGGAGGTCCACCCCCCAGGGGGGGGGTACCCCAACCCGGGGGGGGAGGTCCCACCCCCCCAGGGGGGGGGTTTCCACCACCCAGGGGGGGGGGTTACCCCCAAACCCAGGGGGGAGGTACCACCCCCCCGGGGGGGAAAGGAAACCCACCCAGGGGGGAGAGGGCCACCCCCCGGGGGGAGGTCCCAACCACCCGGGGGGAAAGGGTACCACCCCCCAGGGGGGAGGAAAACCCCCAAACCCAGGGGGAGGTCCCACCCCCAGGGGGGGGGTACAGCCCCCCGGGGGGGGTACAGCCACCCAGGGGGGAGGTACGGGCCACCCAGGGGGGAGGGTACCGCCCCCCGGGGGGGGAAGGTTTCCGCCACCCGGGGGGGAGGGTACCGCCACCCAGGGGGGGGAAAAGGAAACCCCCCCACCCGGGGGGGAAAGATTACCCCCAAACCCGGGGGGGGGATACCGCCCCCCAGGGGGGGAGGCCCGCCGCCCAGGGGGGAGGTACCCCGCCCGGGGGGGAGGTCCCGGGCCGCCCAGGGGGGAGGTACCGCCCCCCCAGGGGGGGGGGTACCCCCGCCCCAGGGGGGAGGTCCCGCCCCCCAGGGGGGAAAAGGCACCGCCCCCCGGGGGGTTTGGCCCCCGCCCCCCGGGGGGGTAGGAAAAACCGCCCCCGGGGGTAGGCACCCCCCCCCCAGGGGGTAGGCCCGCCCCCGGGGGGGGAGGCCCCCGCCGCCCAGGGGGTAGGCACCCCCGCCGGGGGGGTAGGCACCGCCGCCCAGGGGGTAGGCACCCCCGCCCAGGGGGGAGGCACTGCCGCCCCAGGGGGGATGCATGCCCCCCCAGGGGGGAGGCACTCCCGCCCAGGGGGGAGGCACCGCCCCCCCAGGGGGGGGGGCCCACCGCCGCCCAGGGGGGAGGTTTACCGCCCCCCCCCGGGGGGGGGTGCCCCGCCCCCCAAGGGGGGGGTTTAACGCCACCCGGGGGGGAAGGGGTACCCCCAAACCCAGGGGGGGGTACCGCCCCCCAGGGGGGGGGGAAACCGCCCCCCCAGGGGGGAGGTACCGCGCCCAGGGGGGGGGAAACCCCCCGCCCAGGGGGGGGGCCCCGGGGCCCCCCAAAAGGGGGGGGGGCCCCGCCCCCCCGGGGGGGAGGCACCCCCCGCCCGGGGGTTTGGCACCGCCCCCCCAGGGGGTAGGCCCCCGCCCAGGGGGGGGGCCGGGGCCCCCGCCCCCAGGGGGGGAGGCACCCCCGGGGCCCCAAGGGGGGGTAGGCCCCGGCCCCCCAGGGGGGAGGCACCGCCCCCAGGGGGGAGGCACTGCCGCTCGGGGGGAGGCACTGCCCCCCAGGGGGGGGGCACTGCCCCCCAGGGGGGGGCACTGCCGCCCAGGGGGGGGCACTGCCCCCCAGGGGGGAGGCACTGCCCCCCAGGGGGGGAGGCACTGCCGCCCAGGGGGGGGAGGAAACCCTCCCGCCGGGGGGGGGCACGGGCCCCCCAAGGGGGGAGGCACTGCCGCTCAGGGGGGGGGCACTGCCCCCCGGGGGCGAGGCACTGCACCCCGGGGCGAGGCACTGGCCGCCCAGGGGGGAGAAAATCCCTCCCAAAGGAGGGGGGGTTATTCCCACCCGGGGGGGGGGTTTTACTACTGCCCATTTGGGGAGACGTAATGCCCTGGAGGAGGTTCTACTCCCCCAGAAAAAAGGGGTTACTTGTCAGTACGTCGGGTAAAGGGGTCACCCCATGTCAAACCCGCCCAAGCTCTTGGGAGTTAGCGTGGGCTTTACCAAGCACCCCTGGTTTTTTTAGTGTTTTTGAATCTTGGTTAAAGTTTTGAAGGAGGAGATTCTTTTTTCAGGAGGAAAAAAGGAGGCCCAAGCTTAGCATAGATGAGTTTTGGGGAGGAGTGTGAGAAGGATTTAGTGGTAAGGAGGAATGGGGCAAAAAGCAGTGTTTGGGCAGCCCCCCTTAATTTTTAAATGGTTTAAACCCTTTGAAAGGGGGGAAAACGAAATTTTCTGTTCTCAAAAAACAAATGTACTTAAGTGGGTTGTGAGGTTGAAGGTAAAATGATTTCCCCTTTCCCAATTTAAAAGGGAAAAATATTTTAATAGTAAGAGATTCTAGGTAAAGATATAAAAGGGGCCCTGATTTTGTTAAAAGTTTACAGGAAAAGGGCAGAAAGAGTGTTTTTCCCGGAGTGGTGTTGGCGACATAGTCAGCAGGTTGGATTAAAAAATTGGCAGGTAATTTAGAAAAAAGCCCTTATTGTTTGGTGCTTGGGGGGGGAATGACATTGGGAAAGGGGGGGGAGAGAGGGCTGCTGGATAAGGGACAGGTCAGGGCCCTGACGTAAATTAGGTTTTAAAGGAAACCCAGTCATATGTAGCATCTTGCCCGAAAGGGAAAGTGGGAATGGGAAAGGGGTGTCTAGGGCAAATTTATATAATTTGGGGGTTAGACAGGTTTCTTTTTTTTTTTTTTTTTTTTTTATTTTATTTAAAAAAACATTTTCACTTTATACAAAACCCCCAATTAGAAATCCCAAAAACCCTGACAGCAATGTCAGTACACACCCAAAAAACAAAAAAAAAAAACCCTTTTAACATATTGATATAACGAAATTCACCCTAAGAAACCCAACCCGTTTACGGGAAAAAAAAAACATACCGACTACAAAATAGAACGTCGGAGTCATAAAACATGTAGGAATAAGTCCTATAATCATGTATATATGTATATACATACACATGCACATATACACATACATGTATGTGCACATATGTTCTTACAGCACAGACTGGATTATACTAGAACAAACAAACAAACAAACAAAAAAGACTTATCACTAAAAACAAAAACTAGACAAACTAAATACATAACATCCAAAACAGAAGTGGCAGACAATGTCAGATACACAAAAAAAAACATTGTAACACATTGATATAACAAATTCTACTAAAAAAAACCCAACCAACCGACTTCCAAACAAACAGTCGGAGTCATTATAAAACATGTAGGAATGAGTCCTACAAACATATACATATATATATATATATATATATATATATATATATACATACACATATAATATTTTATATATTACCACACACCATACACATATATATATATACATATATACGCATGCTTATACACACATACGTGTATGTGCATTTGTTCATACAGAACAAACTGGATCATACATAGAAATAAAGCACTAAATGACTTTTCACCAAATAAACTAAAAAAATATTACATCCAATGATAGAACTATACCTAAGACATTGGTTCCCACAAACACACCTACACACACACAAAATTAATGTTACCTATTAACACTCAATATATAATATGACCTTCCAGTCAAATGAAGGGTATATATAAACCCCATCAAATACTTTTATATTTTGGTACATAGGTCATTTTGTACCCATTCAATACGATAAAAAAGAGACATATGACAAGGATAAATCTAACATCAGATTCGAATGTATAAAACATATCCTCACAATATACATATAAATATAAACCCCCTATATAAAATGGTTCTTATAACAATAAGAGAAAAAACAGAAAATCACATACTACTTTTGACTCTGTGATTTTACAAAATTCATAAAGGTCTACATACCCCGGAGCCCCCGACGGCTCCCTGCAAAAAAACTTTACCCACATCTACCACCTTGCAAA